GGCAGGCAAGCGCCGGGTAGCTCAATGGTGACGAAGCACGCAGGAAAAGCGTTTGGGGCAATGGCGACAGCCAACGCAGCCGGAGACAAGGTTCCAACTGATAGCCACGTCAGGATTTTGGACAGCCTTGCCGCAATTCCAAAAATGGAGATGTGCTCCACGAACCAGTTGCTGGCTGAGCGGCTGATTGAGCAAAAGATCCTGGTGGACAAAAAGGCGTCAGAGACTGCGTCGCAGCCAGAGCCTGAGCTCATCCCAGACCTCGACCCCATTGACTTCGCAGCTAGGCGCCTCTTCGACGGCTTGGCCAGTGAAGCGGAGGGGGAGGAGACGCTGCTTGAGAAGGCCACCATTTTGGGCATGCCCTTCAAGATCAACAGGGCGTGGCACAACTTCCGCCAGCTGCACTTCAGTCGTGGCAGGAAGCGACAACAAGGCCTTGAGCTGAAGATGCTGAGTAAGAGCCTAGTTCTGCGTTTAGATAGACGTAGGGTTTGTGCGGGTTTGTAGGGCACGGCAAGTTGTGGATTTGGGCGGGCCTGGGCAGGACTGCTGCGCTACGGGGGAAGCAAGGTGCTCAATGACCACGGGACCGCCGAGGGGTGGAAGACTTTGCTGCGTCATGTCGTGAGCCAGAAGGCGGCTAAGGCAGCGGCAGACGACAAAGTCATCAGGCTTTGCTGGACCAGGGATGCTGACACGTGGCTTACAAAGCTCCGCGTCAGTGACGCTGCTCTCAAGCTGTACCGTGAGTGTCCTAGAGTTTAGGAGCCGCCTGCCAAGCGGATCGCGCGGTCTCACGCCGCGGCTGAGTGCAACGCATTCTGAGCTAATTATTACGTTGCGGGGCGGTCACGAAGATTCGTGCTGCGCTGGGGAAAATAGGCTTGGCGAGCGCTTGTGGGGTCGTGCTTGACTGCCGTGCTTCACGGCGGCGCGTGATATATGCTGCGTGTGTTGACTGCAGCAGGAGACTGCTCACACCGCTTTGGCTCCGTGCTGCTGCGTCTTGGCTCAAAGGGAGTGCGGCTTAGCCCACACTGGCATGTTCACGTCACAAGGGTTGCTGTTTGCGCGAGACTGCGGCCACAGTTTCGCCGCGCCGGGAATTTTGCCGCGTCAAATGCGCCGATGCTCTGCGTCGAGCGAGGATGCCCTGCTGGGCCTTGCCATCTAGCTCCTGCTTCGGCCGAGAAGAGGGGTGGCTCTTCAGTGTTGACACAGCCACCCCAACTGGAAGCGAGACCTGCGTGCGCATCAGGACGCGCATCAGGCGCACTGCCACCAAGGAGAGGCGCTGATAGCCCAAGCTAGAAAGATGCGAAGGCATCAGGCAGAGAACAAGTGGGAGTGCGCTGAGTGCGGACAGCACGTTGAGAGCCTGCGCGATGCTGCGCATCATGCTTGCCCAATAGCAGCTGCTTGCGGTCCAACGCGGAGGAAGCGGAAGAGATCCAGACCAGCTACTGTTTCAGACTCCCACGGCCAAGCACTCAATGTGCCCGAAGACCTGCTGTACGCCGCCATCGCGGAAAAAATTGCGGAGCAAAGGAAATGCTCGGGAGATTTGGAGCTCTCTTCCCCTCATCCACACTGCTCAGCGTCCAAGCAAGCGTCGCTGCTGTGAGTCCTGCGCTGTCACTGCAGCCAGGGGACTTTGTCGAGTGGCCCTCTAAGAGGGACAGTTTGGCTGCATTTGGTCTGTGGCCAAAAAAAGACGAGCTGCTTCAGTTGAGGCTGTTGAGTTCAGGCGAAGGCCTGTAGACGGGCGACGGCGCTGCGCCTTGCATCCGGATGGCGGTGGCTGCTGGCGCGCTGTTTTGCCTCTGGTGAGCAAGGCGATTCATGTGCAGCCAGAGCTTGTGCGACCTGTTGCCCTCGTGCCCCGGCCCGGCCAAGCTCAGGGGACTGTCTAGCTGCATAGCAGAGCTGAAGAAGTTCATTGCGGAAGCAGCTGCCAAAAATGCGCAGAACGCGGAGTTCTCTGTTGAGCTTGCACGCCTGCGGTCGCTGAGGTTCTCAAGGCTTGCGCTTGCCGCCATTTGTGCTCACTGAGGGTGCCGGCAAAATGCCCGCAGGCGAACGTGTCAAGTACGAAGAAGGGGCTCCGCCTCCAGCCGGCTGCTCATCGCCGCGCAGGGCTGCTTCCGAGTGGTTGCAGAACGGTACGAGTGTCACACTCATGAGGTACTTGGACCCTCTGGGAAGGGTAACTGGAAGAAAACCAAAGTGTCACTTTCCCTGTTTATGGACTTGACACTTTTTTGGACAGATCATTCAAGCGGTAGATTTGTTCTGACCAATCCGCTCAGGAGCTCAGGAAGTGAGGCTTGAATCCCCTTTTGTCTTGGCTTCCATTTGCTTAAGTATACTTTTCATTTCCCTGGCTGGTTTTGAAGGGAATCTATCACTACTGGGAGTATTTTCAGTTTTGCCGGGGGCTTAAGCAAACGGAAGCTAGGTTTCTCGTTTTCCTTTTGAAGCCGACCAAGAGGGGCGGTGCAGAAGTGAGACCCTGCCCATTACAAGCTCCACGGGCACCTCCCTTCCATGTGGCGCGCATGCATTGTTTGAAATCTCCACAAGGCAAACTATATGATATTCATGTTTGGGTTTGGTATGTCTTTTTGTGGGGCTCGGAAAGGCCTATTCCGTGCCCTACAAGGCCGGGTCTGGAAGGAAGGGTGAAGATGTGAGACCTTGCCCGTTGCAGGCTCCACAGGCCCACGAAACTTTTCGCAAAAAGTCAAAAAGTCAAAAACTTTTCGACTTTTCGACTTTTCGAATTTCTGGGGACTTTTCGACTTTTCGAGTGTTTTTTGAGACTTTTCGACTTTTCACTTTTCGACTTTTCGAATCAAAAACACACAGTTTTCATTTTGTGTCCGTGACCAGCCAGAGGACACCACTCGAAACCCCCCCCCCCCCCAAATGTCGACCTTTTTGTCTGTCTTTATCTGTGATGCCCACTCCACTGCATCTGACTCTGCAAAAGGAAGAAGACTCTCCAACTCAACCGGTTGAACCGTTTGAACCCTTTCTCAGAGGAAAGGTCTGGGCCCAAAACCGTTTAAACCGTTTAAACTTTCTCTCAGAGGAAAGGTCTGGGCCCAAAACCGTTTGAACCCTCTCTCAGGTGGAACGTTGGGGGGGGGGGGCCTTTCCTTGGAGAGAGAGGGCTTAACCGGTTTAAACGTTTTAAACGGCGTTGGTCAGAACTCTGGGAAGGGGGGGGGTCTTTCCTCGGAGAAAGGGTTTTAACGGCTTAAGCGGTTTAAACGGTTTTGGGGTCCTGACTCTCAGAAAGGGTTTAAATGGTTTAAACAGTGTGGGGCCCTGATTCTCTTCGTTGTTGTTGTGTTTGGCATCTTCTGACCAAACCTCAGCTTGAGAAATAGGACAGAGGTAGATCCAAGCCGACTAGAATGTCATTCGGGCCTGGATTCAAGATTCGCTGGAAACGTTTGAAACCTGAATCATGCAGATTGTCTTTGGACATGCAGCTTTTGTAGCTGCCTTCCCCAAAACCGACAGAAAGCACTGTAAATACCTGTGAATTCTGAACACGTAATTTAAATAGGATATCCTGTTCAAAGGCTATTTTAATTGGAATGTTCATGTCAAAATATATTTTGAAGGCAGTCTCCTTTTCTTCTTTTGAGCTTAATAAGGCCATACTCCAGCAGGATGTTCCAGTTTAACCAGAATCGATGTATGTTTTCTTCCTGTTCAAGGATGATTTGTACTAAATCCAATTACAACCCTTCTTTTAAAACAAGCCTGTCTAAAGTATCATTAAAACCAGACACTCCACTAGAATTATGGCATTAGTAAATGGTGCTTAAATTTTGATCAGACAACATAATTGAACGTTTCACACTTGTTTTGGTGAGGTATTTGCGGTGTTTTATGCCATTGTTTATGCTTTGGGGAAAGCAGCAAAAAAGGGGGCCTTATTGAAATCCATTTAGATTCTACTTGGAAACTGCAAACAACATCCTGGGAAAGGAAGTCCTCTTTCAAATCCAATTTCAAGCAAGAATCACAATTAAACATATTCTTCCAAGGGGACATCCTATTTACATCATAGAAAAGCTAAAAATGTATACTAGGATGATTCACTGTTGATTTCTATCTGAACTCCAATAGAGACTTGGCAAATTCAATCCTAGAAACAGAGACCCGCTTCAAAGTTGAAATTGAAAAAATAAAACTCCAATTAAGCATATCTTGTAACACAAGAGTACTTAGATTCTCGTTAAAACTAGCCACTCTACTCGAACTATGTCCTTATTAAAGATTATTTAATGTTTGATCAAAAATCCAACTAGAACACGGTTTCAATTCCAATGTCCAATTCGAAGGAAATCCTATTTAGTTTCTCTTTAAACTAGAAATCGATAGTAGGATTTGTTCCTTACTAAACTCCACTTATTTTTTTAATAGAAAATTGAAACCACGATCCTAGAAAAAGAGACCCCCTTTAGAATCCGTTTTCACCAAAATTGAAACCAACAAACAGGTAGACATATATATATATATAGATAGTTGAAATCCCGCTTCCAACCTTTCGTTGTTTCTCGATTCTCGTCTTCCATGAGTTTCCGATGTGTCTCCTGTGTCGGCGCGTGGTGGGCATGGTCTCCACACGTTTCCTGTGTGTATCCCACGCACCCAATTGTGTTCATGTTTACTCTCTTGTCCCACGCCCACACATGTTCCCACACGCCTCTCGGCTGGCTTTGATCGCAGAGAGGCTCCCTGCCATCGTACATGCCACTTTCAAAGCACCTGATCACTTGATCGGAATGGCCTTCGACCCTCTCTTCAGCTAGCGACAACGATTCCTATTCCATTTTCGTGTTTATTAAATGAACGCAAGCCTTTAGTTTGTATAAACAACAAAGGCACATACATGTATACATGACAGCATATCTTCCAATCATGCGTCTTTAGCATGGCGCATTCCTTGCTGACCTACTGTTCCGAGAGCCATGCAGGTGCCGCAGCTGGAGGAGCGTGCGCGGAAGTTGCAGGAGGGAGCAGATAGATGTTTAGTATTCCACAACTCCGACGGGAATGATGCTTTGAAGCCACTGACGGTGCCTGAGGTCAGTTTTTCACCATGCGCAGGTGCAAGTTGCACTGCCCATCAGGATCGTTGACGCTGCCCATCATTGCTTGGTCTGGTGGCAAACTCATCGAGGGAAAGACTGCTGAACCGTGACCTACGCCCTCTCATGTTTGTTTTTCTTTATCCTGACCTCTTTTTGGTAGAGTCTTTGAGTCTTTGGCATCAGTGTTGCTCAAGCAGAGCTTCCATTGAGAATCGGCTTCAAAAGTGGAAGCGAGGTATTGTCCTAGTATTGGGTGTAAACTCGGTTTGGCAACCCTGCCAGGGAAAGGCCTGATGGGTTTGGATTGCTTGGTATGTTTTTGCTATGCTTCTTGTACGATTCATATTTTGAGTTTATCTCAATCTCAGAACCCCTTCATCATTGACGTTTGTGCCAATTGTTTGTCCGTTCCTCTGTCTCCACAAGCCTGCAGGCACGCTGCACACAGGTATGGACTAGCATCATGAAACATGATCCTTGCAGGTACTGACAGCTGGTTTGTTTGCCCGTGGAATTGACAGAAGGATCCTTGACATGGATTGTCCAACCTACCCTACTTCCAGTCATGCCCAAACTCTCCAGGTCGACAACGGTGTTGGACAACTCGTGTTGTTTCCGGCCTGTCAGCTTCCATTGTTGGAGGCTAGCATTCGGTATCGATTTGGAAGGTAGGCCCAGCAGCCGTCGAGTTGCCAGGAGCGCGCCCAGCAGACAGCCGGGGGGCATGCTGAGCTGCAGCAGCGTGTGGCTTCTCGGCTTGGCCCAGTGGGCTTGGACAATAGTTCTTCCTTTTTTTTGCAGGTCCAGGTGGAATGAAGATAAGAGTGATTTTGGCCTCAGTGCTTGGTTTTGGGGTTGTTGTTTTGTCGGGGTTTGCCGGCTATGGACGGCTTTGCTGCTTCAGTTGGCTGTGGCTCGTTTGCTGGGACCCTAGTCGCAGGATCCCTGGTTTTCCTCAGCCGGGGGCGAATTTTATCTCTTTCGCTGCGTCAGCTGCTCACGATTCGTGTAGATTCCTTTGATGCCAGCTGTTGCTTGCGACTCCTTTCTTTGACACTCATACATGAAAGGGCTTGAGTCCGAGTTGAGTCGAGCACTGCCCTTCCCAGGAGGTGCAAGAGTTTGAGCTGGGTCGCCACAGGCTTGCTCAGCTTTGGAGCTCCATGGCGGGCAAGGGGGTTCGCGAGTGCCAACTTTTTCGCGCGCAACAAGGGCGCTGGAGAGAAGGGGCAAACGGCCCGATGGGTTTTTGGTGCCGGGATACCCTTGTTTCTCTTCGCCGGAGTATTGGGGACGAGCGACTCAGAAGGGGCCCGTTGCTCGATGTTTGCTGAATTCGACGTGAGCAGTACAAGGAGCCCCATGATAAAGCTTTCTGACTCGGAGGTTTTGGACATATGCCAAACTTGCGGATTTGGCTATGATTGTTCATGTCGGAACACCTTCAGAAAGGTGGTCATCCCCCATGCATAATTGGTGACACGTTAGAGCATGTTCTCAGGGACCCGGCTGACTGCTGTTTTCCTCCCTCCCTTCCTTCCTTTTCCTTTCTACCTTCCTTCCTCTTTCTTCCTTTCAAGGGTCCATCCGCAAGCAGAAAAACAGACAGATCTGAGGCAGCGAGGCCAGCCAGCAGGGGCGCATGGGTCAAGAGCACCAGCACCAGGCGCACGAGAGTGGCTTTCGGCCGCCTGTTTCGGGGGGAAGCGGTGAAAACCCCCGGTCTGTTCAATGTTTACTTTCGAAAACTCGGCAATTCCCTCGGGTTTCGGGCGTTTTTTTTTTTTGAAAAACATGATCCTTGGAAGGAAAAAAAAGCCTAGAGTTGTGGGAATGGTTGGTGCCCGCTATAATTCTAAGGTATAACATTTCATTGTGGTCCCTGCTTATTGCCAGGTTTCTTCTCAGTTAGGCAGTCTAGGGCCAAAAACACTCCTTTCTAGCCCGTCAACTCAGCAGGTGTGTGTGTGTGTGTGTTGCAGGGTTGAGGTTGCATTGGGAGATTTCTTTAACTCTTACTTCCAAAAGGAAGTCAGCCAAGGATGCAAACACGCAGCTTGTGGCTTGCGGGCTTTACTTTACATCTTGGAGAACCCCCCAGGCTGCAACTCCGCCGCTGTCTTTCTGCCCCAAAGGTGCCGTGTTGGGTCAGTTTGGCTGAGTCATATTAATATGCACAGACATGTGTCCCTTTTGGCTTTTGCCTGGTTAACTACAGATGCATCCCCGTTTCACCTTGCTTTCACACCCGTCCAGTGAATTCCGTTTCCAATAAAGGGTCCTCATGGGTCCTCCGTTTAGAGGTCCGAAGCCGCTTTGGGGTCCGTTGATTTCTCGAGCACATCTCGAAGCCTCGAAGGCCCTGGCGCTGCTTCGGCAGGCCGCCAAGGTGCGGGCGGACGAGGCCAACGCGGAGCAGGCGCTTGGGCTCAGATGGGCGGAAGCTGAATGTGCCAAAGGGCTCCTTGTTGCCGTCCCAACATGGAAGCTGATTGGGGGGTTTATTGAGGAACATGTCGTGTTTTCTAGAGGGGCTCCCGGGAAGCTTCAAAGTTAAACAATAGGTGGGAGCGTATGTAGCTGTTCTTAGACACAGTTGCTTGATTGTGTTTGATCTACGTATTGATGAACAAGTTGCCAGCACGAGGATTTGGGACCAGGATGCGAGGATGAGTATTCAGTGAGTCATGGCCATCCTGCAACCAGGGACTTGTTCGAACCATTTTGAACCCCTTGTCGGGTCAATAGGAAACCGCTCCCTAAAAGGAGCCCAGGCTCGGCTTTGGCTCCCAGAGCTTCGGTTCAGTCGGAGCGTCTGAGAATGGCTCAAAGTGGGAGCAGTCTGAGCCTTCCATCAGCCACCCTCCAACTTGGAAGGGTGACGCAAAATGGTTCTTGTCGTTCTTGTCGTTCTTGTCGTTCTTGTCGTTCTTGTCGTTCTTGTCGTTCTTGTCGTTCTTGTCGTTCTTGTCGTTCTTGTCGTTCTTGTCGTTCTTGTCGTTCTTGTCGTTCTTGTCGTTCTTGTCCCTTCAACCGACTTCAACCTTGCTTTTTCGTTGCCAACCATGGCCACCAAAAGAGACATTCCACACTTGGGCAACACATACTTGGCCATATTTGGCCATGCGCTCATTGAGAGTTCGGACAACCATCGCGAAGGAAGCGAAGACCTGGGCCCCTCCATGGGAGTTTAACCAATGGCTGAATATGGAGACATGCAAACCGTGGACAAATCCTGCACCAGTTGATGGGTGGTTGACCTTCTTTTCCACAAGGTTTCATCCCTTCCAACGGACAGGTGCAGGCCCTTTTCCATCAGTCAAAGAGGCCAAATAATTGCACACATCAATTAGTACGCATCAGTAGAATAATTTCTTAATTTGGTCTTCAAGGCCCCCACGACCTCGTGACTGGTTCAAACTATTTGGGCCCTGAGCGAAACCGCCGACTGCCCGAGGAGCTGCACAGGCTGTGGGCGCGGCTGGGGGAAGCGCACCGTGAGGCGAGCGCGCAGAAGGAGGCGCTCAGCGCCTCGGCAGCGGGGAGGGGAGCCATGGCGGGGAGGGGAGCGGGAGGGGAGCGGGAGGGGGGTCGGGAGGGGCGGGGGTGCCTTACGTCAGGGTTCAACGCCAGCATGGGTTGGAGGGACTGGGCTGGGGTTCCCAATGTGAGGGTTCCACATGGCCATGTTTTCGATGTTTGCCCGTGGGTTGCCTTTCTATCTCTTTGTGGTTTTGAACACCGTTTGGGCCAACTCAAAGGGGATGGTCAAAGGGATGATGGTCAAAGGGATGATGGTATGCACGGGGCAGCCCTTGGGGAAGACTGAAGCGGAAACCAACAAGGAACCTGCCAAGTTTGGCGCTCATGTCGGGGGTTCCCTCATTTGGGACCCACGTAGAAGCTGTTTGGATTTTCTCGAGTCATGACCTGGTGCCCGGCTTTCCAGGCCACGGTCAGCCGTCAGTCGCTTGCTTTCGCGCACCTCGAAAAAGCTCAAACACAATCTATGCGGGGGTTGTCCAAAGCTGAGGACCCCTTTTCAACGGAAACCAAGTGTCTCCATTTTTTTAGTTGTGGTGCGAGGCCAAAACCACGATTTCGAGCACCGTTTGTGCGTCGATCCTCTCAGGCCGCACGCGGGAGCTCCGCGAAGCAGTGGAGAAGGATGTCCTTGGATTGAGAGAGGCCTGCGATTAGAAGGGGGTGCGGTTAGTCCTGTTTGGTGGGTTTAGACCTTTTCCTGTGATGGCTCTGCGTGAAAACCGATTGAAGGCCGACTACTTAGATCTATTTACGGGGTCCAACTGGTGTTCACGGGATGTGGCACGCTCCCGAACGAGCCAAGTGCTGTACGTTCTTTCTTGTTTTTAGTATCGAACCTGGAGCCACCGAGGCCTATCTTGCGAAAGTGACTGCCTTCAGTCGAAGAGGATTTCCACCCCCACCCACTGCCGCAAAAAGGACAACGGGGTATGGCGTCTTTGTGCATGCCGGTTGCATAGGGATTTTGTCGGCCTTGGGATGGGCCAAGCCCTGGAAACGCAGCGATTCCGCCCCAAGTGGCCTCGATGCCGTGCCAGACCAACGCCTTTCTCGATGAGGAGCCTGACCCTTAGCATCAACTCTGACGGCCATGCCTGAAATTGGAAGGGGGCAGCAGGATTCGATGCCCCAGCTCCTGGACATCATTTTTGTTGACAACCACTTTAAGTTTGGCGGCAACCAAAGGTTTGGACAAAATTTGGACAATCACTTGCTGAGCGGTCGACGAGATACTGTAGGCGCGCCCGCACCGCATGCAGCGTCAGCGGCAGCGAGCGCGGCGAGCGGCGGCGAATGTCGCCGGGCTTGCAGAGCGCGCAGAGCCTAGGCGCCGGGGAAGTGCAAGGGGGGGGGTGGGCGCCAAGGAGTGATGAAAACTGGTCGCCGAGGTTTGTTACATTGTTTGATTTGGAAGAAGTTCTCTACTGCCTGGTATGTTCGATCCTTGTTGGTGTTCCTGTTTGGGTCCTTGTGTTTGCTAAGATTGGGAACTGTTGAAAGACCTTGAATTCCTTTTGGGATCAGAGCATATCGTGGCATGCGCTACCCTCCTTGAACTTACATTGATTGTTTCCAAGAACAGATCCCCCAAACCACAAACGGGTGCGTGTCCTTTTGGCTTTCTGTGGGGCACTAACCAAAGGGTCCAAGCTTATGACGCCCGGCAGACACCAAGTGGGGATGTCAACATGACACTGACACGTCACTATTTGAAGGGGCCCCTCATTCTGGCCGTGTGCCGGAATCAGTGGGACCCTGCCAGCCAGGGTCTTTGTATTTGTGATGAACCAATCCTAAGATGTCCTTTCACCGAACAGTTCTCATCAGCCGGCTGTGAACCCTGCTGACAGAGTAGATGTCCCAGTGCCCATGCGCTAAGGCCGTGTTCGATCGGACACCCTTGGTTTATGGAACTGCCGAGACAAAGGCGGCCAAGCTCGCATCGTGCACGGATCCCGTCGAAACCGCAACCAGCACCTACGCATTGTGGCTTGACGCATGACCGTTTCCTTTGAAGACACCTGCTTGATTGAATATGTTTGGACTATAGTCCCTGTTTCTGATTTGTGAATTCTAGCAATTTGACTAGGCGTATTCTTTGGGACATCACCCTATTACTTGCACAGCGGTTGATTTCTTGAAGGCCGAGCTTTCACTTGGCCCAGTGATGGTGGGAGCCGGCTAAGGTTCTCCTCACACCTTGGGCTTTCTGCTGCCAGAGACCTTTGCAGGCGTCCCTATGAGAGGTTCGGTCAAATTATGCAGCAACCCATGGTCATTTTGGGAGGGACATTGGGAGACGCACTAAATGAAATGTCCTTTAGGGTAACTGCCGTGGCTCATGTGGGGTGTGAGGAAAGTCAGATGCTGTGCAACTCATCCCACCATGGCTTCCGTGCCATGGGCATAGTACATCGGGGGCTGGTGACAACATCCCAGTTGATGAGGAACAGTTGTTTGCCCAGATGTTGTGGCTCCCCCTATTTATTGAGCTGAACCATAATGAGACATGCACTTGTGGCTGGCTGTCGGGCAGCCACGAGTTCAAGGAATTTGAACGGAATGCAACAATCGTTTGACGCGGGAGCCGCTAGGAAGACGTGCACAAATTTCGTGGATGGCCTTTGTCCACGTTCATGACTGCTGGAGGGAAGGCTTACATCTAAAATATGCATACGAGTGATCCATGGTCTTTGGATAAAATTTGTCATAGTGATGGCACGCAAAGCATGAGCAGCCGGGTACCTGATTTGATCAAACAGGTTGGGTTCTAAAACGAAAAGCCCCACAATCTTCAACGATCGACCCTGCTTAAAATTCCAATCGCTGGTTGCTATCTCATGATCAAGGGTTGCAACTGCATTTTGTGGACATTTGCGACCTGCGAGTAAGAAGCTGGGCAGGGCAATCATGTTGCAGCGACTAAAAGAACCAACACATCCTCTTGAATTAGGGTTTGCAGTTACGCGAACTGAAGTCAGCAACACAGAATAAAAACGCAGTAGCGCCGATTAAAACTCACAAGAGAGGCTGAGTGACGCGGACTGCGCGGAATTTCCGAATAATGGGAATTTTGATTTCTTCCGAATTATTCCGGCGTATGTCCCGCGCAGTGCCCGGAATAATTCCGAATTATTCCGGCATTGCCTTCTACATGTCAACCGGCCTTGGGTCCAGCAGCTGGCAAATTCCAGCACCCGAAAAGGCTTTTGGGTTGCCTGTGGCCTGAAATGTGCCTGGATGCCAACTGCACTGCCAGGCCAGGTGCCAACGCAGGCCGAGTTTGCTTTGGCGATGGTGTGCCTTGTGGTCGATTTGATGGGCCGCGATTGACAGATTCCGCAAAAACACAAGTTGGTTGTTTGATTCTGCTCATCTGATTTGATTTGTTCCTTTTGACAAATGCCCTTGAGCGTATCATTTGTCACAATCGGGTTACCATCCTGAAATGGGGGGATCCTCGAGTCTGGTCCAGAGCAAGATAGACCAAAGGGATGATCTTCCTTGAAGTGATGAAATGCAGCCACTGAAGCTGAAGGCCCATTTGGTCAAGGCAGCAATGTGCCAAGGTCGGCGTTTTGTAAGGTGCCCCTCGGACGGTGCGTTGTTGACAGCACACTGTCTTTTGAAGCAGCGGGACGTCTAGCGTGTTCAGCCAGCCAGCCAGTCAGGCCGCCAGTCAGGCACCGAAAGTTAGTCACTCAGTCAGCTGGTCATCAGTCAGGTCACAAGCTTGCGAAATGGCACACAAAGGGGAACTTCCCTTCGAACACCAGCGAGCCCTTGTGAGAGACACTCCCATTGTGAGGCCTCCCTGCGCGGCTCAAGGGGCGCCTTGTGAGTCCAAAGAGCTTGTGCGCAAAAGAGCTTGGGAATCCTGGCGTTTTCTTGTTTTGGTTTCCTTCTCGAAAGGTTTTGCATCCTGAAAGACAAGCATCTTTCCTAGTCTCGGCTGCAAGAGACTTGAAGAAATGACGTGGCCAAGTCACAGTCAGGGGAATACTCTGCATGGGAGGCTTGGCCTGGATGTTCGGGCCTCTTCCATGAGACTTCATCAGCGTTTCCAAAAGCATGTACGGTTGATCGTGCCATGGTGTGAGGATGGTGAAAGTGGAGGTTGCAGCTAGATTGATGAATTGGTTTTACTTTGAAAAGCGGCATGGGTATTCCTGGAAATTTCTCCCCTCCAGAGACTGCTTCGGGGTCGGGAGACTCAAGCAGGTGAGTGCGCTACTGTCCAGTCTTGATGCTCTTACCTCCCCTCTTCCCAAGTTTCAGAAAATCCTCCAGCGATTTACGAGATACCAATTCTCAGAGCCTAGAAGTTGCCGCAACGTGTTTTTTTTCTTAACGGTGTGGATGCGTTCGTTGGCACCTCTCCCCGTGCCATGAACGCCATGAACGCCATGCCCCTTTGCGCCGCCGGGCTCGAAGTGTGGTCCGTGGATCTTTCCCAAGGCAGGGCTGGCGGCATGCCGTCGAATGGCACGCCTGGAAGCTTTGCCCCGGAGAGTATCACAGGATGACAGGATTTGTATTTATCACGAATCAAGACAAGCGGCTGCCCCAGATGGTCATCTGGAAAACAGCAAACGTTTAAAAGGGCTGCCTGAGTTTTGACACATACCTAAATGATATTCTTCTTGCGTGTGTTTACTATGCTTGTCATCATTCCCGTTGAAGCTTTTTGAGAATGGTGCTATTGAATTGGCCTCAACCCAGGCTTTGTGTTCAAAGGGAATGACTTCAATGCAGTGTCCACGGAAGCGAGGGCGTAGCGGCGTGGTGCCTAGTTGAGTTGTTCGGGGCTTTGAACTGTCTGGCGGATTGAGCGAGATTCAGACATCAGGTGGAAGATAAGCTTGATGTCAGCGTCTGTACCGCACCCTGCGTTTTCAGCATGCAACCCCGGCCGCTGCAACCTCAAAACGTGATTCGCCTACACGAAACGCACATCGCCAACACGAAACTTTGTGTTTTCGCACCGCTCTCATAGATCAGGCCGCCATATAGCTCCATGCAGCGCTGAGCGGGGTCACTGTTTATCATTTGGCAGGCGTGGGTGCAGTGTTGAGCGGGGTCACTGTTGCGGATTTGGCAGGCGTGGGTGCAGTGTTGAGTGGGGTCACTGTTGCGGGGGTGCTTATCATCTGGCAGGCGTGAGGCTGAGCGGGGTCACTGTTGCGGGGGTGCTTATCATTCGGCAGGCGTGGATGCATCGCGAGGCGTTGCACGGAGCGGTAAAATTGGTGACAACGCCTGTCGGAACCCTGCGAAGACACGAGCCGGGAAAATATCAAAGTTGGCTACGCGTGTAAAATGTCACAACCGGCTACAAACGCAGGGTGCGGCGCAGGCGCTGCCACCATGAATATGGTTCCTTCACATTCAGTAGGTTTTGTAACAGTGCCAACTATTGCTGTGCTGCATGTAGCATCAACTGCCTTGAGTCAGGGTCGAACATCTGCGTTTGCGCGAGCCATGCGCGGGAAGGCAGATGTGCTCTCCGCACGACCCATGCCTTGGAGCTCTTTTGATTGGGGTGTGCTCGCCTGCCAGGGCAAAGCGGCATGGCGGTACTTCTGGGAAGGAGGCGCCGGGCCCAGTTGCACGCCCATGGTGCGCAAACTCAAGCGACACAAAGACAATCCATGTGGCTATGCGACAGCCAACTTTTGTAGTAATGTTCGCAGAACATGGGCTATTGCAGCGTATCTTGCTCATGTTTCTCTCACTTTGCTAGTTCTATGGCATCTTGTTGATGTTCTTTCGAGTGCGTGTTTGCGTTGTGGTTGCAGCAAGGAATTTGCGGAGTTTGAACTCTGCGTGACTTTTGCAGGACCCAACTGCTCTAGAGCGGAGAGATCCCATAGCGTCCGGTCAAACTTTCGGCCAAGGCAAGGCGCAACAACTTATTTGGGTGTGTCTTTCTTCAGGGTACCAGTTTTGGGGATGGTTTGGAAAGGAAAAACCAAAGGGACACCACCCGTTTCGACAGGATGTTCCCCTGTCAGACAATATGTCTTGGTTTCCCTTTGGTGGGAGCAGCTTTGTGTGACTGCCAGGGTGCCAACCCCATCTTCGAACCTGAGCCAGCCGGATGCCTTGGTGAGGCCTGTGGCAAGTAGGTGGCATCCAGCTGCTTCCGGCCCGGTAGGCTGTGTCCATTTGATTGGGGGTTTTCAAGGCAGGCGGACATCTTTGGGCAACCGCCAGACTCAGACAGATCTGCCAGACGTGGGGCAGTGTGCCGGCGAATTTGTTTCGTGAGGCTGGCAGCCGACGAGGCGCGGGAGTCGCCGACACTGGCTGAGCTTGATTGAGCAGTGGTCAGGAGTTGAGAAACACTTTCTAAACTGCCAGCTCCGGACTGGGTGCCTCTCATCACCTCCGAAGATGCTTGTCAAGTGCATCTCCTATTTGAATTTCCCGCTGTGTAGCTGGCGTTCCAGACAAAACAAAGCAACATGTCACAGATGACCCCTTTTTCCTTGTTGACGCCCAAACAAGGGGGCCTCCCACTAGCACGGACCTGTCTGAGGGGTCGTGGTTTGGACCATTTTCCTCATGCCTCTCGATTCCTCCTCATGGATCCTCTCAAAGGGCCCTCTCGAAGAGACCCGGTTCTATGGATAGCATCGAAGCCAGGCCCTGGATGAGCTTCCCGGCCTCAATCAGGACAGTCTGCGAGGGGTTTGTCAAAAATGGGCAGTCCAATAATATGGCGGTCCCCATTTCATGTGTTTTACCTTCAACGGAAACCAAAAGGAAGCCCTCTCCCCAAAAAGTCCAGTCTGTTGTAGATTGGACCTTGGGGACTCACCAAGCTGTCCGTTCCCTTTCAAATCTCTCAAAAGAGTCAGAATGTATTTTGAACAGACCCCCTATGCTTGGGTTTTCTGGGCGTGAACGTCAATTGACATTTTGAGAAACGACCAAGAACAACTGGAACATCACCTGCGTTCAGTCAGGAGCAGCCTCATGGCCTCCGGTGTAGCTCTTAGCCGAGAGTTTTTTTGGCCGGGTGATTGGGGCAGCGGGGAGGGGCAACAAATCCGCGAGTTTCAGCATGCATTTGGTGCAGCTGGTTCAGCGTTGGTTCAGCTGTGTCTTGCCCATCACGGCTTGATGTAAAAGCCCAACTTCCCCACCGTGGTATTTGGGTGTTCAGAGATGCTTTTATGTTTCTTTGGGAGACTGCAAACATTGGCTTTCAAGACAATTTGAATTAGTTTAGTTTCTCTGCTGTTTGAGGAGGCATCCTGGCTTTGGCAAAGGGAAACAAAGGCAACCCAACCATCTTATGACAAGGGACATTATGGTCCCTCCAGAAAGTTCTATGAGCCCTTCCGAGAGCCGTGTGTGCATAGGTATATAGATATATACTAGACATTGGTGAGGCACAGGCATGGGTTGATTCTCCTTTCATCATTCTGTCCAGAACCCCCCCCCCCCCCGTTTCCCTTGACATTTGGGTTTGCTCCCTATCTCGGGGTTCGCCAATTTTCAAGCAATGGCCATTCCCGAGCTGTCTCGAAGGTCCAAGCAGAGGCGCCGGCCCTGCGCCGGTGCAGGCCTCGGCGACTTTTCTTCTGGCTTTATGTCGACTGAATTCAGAGCTGCTTGGGTTTGACATTACCCCTCTTTCTACCAATTGTGAAAATGCCAGGGGGGGTTCTCCAAGGAAAGCCGTGTTCCTGTCAGGCTCCCTGTTGCTGGCAAAGAATAGGTATGCCTTGGGACTCGTTTTCCGGTTGGCAACAAGGGAAACTGACCACTAATTATTTTTTCTGGGGATGCCCGAATGGTAGCAATATGAAGGCTGTTTTGTGCAGATGATTTCACCATTTCAAGGCGCCTTTAAATGGGAACGGTTTGGGTCACAGAGCCCTTTCGAAGCCGCTTGTGGGTCTCATGCACAGCTTTGAGTGGAGCAGATGGACCCGAAAGACGATCGCACCTGGAGCTGAGAGACACCATCGGGCCGTTCCGCATCTGTTTGTTTGCATGGAACACTAGGCTCCTGCCAGGGCGCAGACAGTGAGGCATGACAGCTGAGGACTGGAGAACGTCGACCCTGATGCTGTGAGCCACGGCATGATTGCTTTTCCCCAGCTCAAAACCTTAGGGTCTCGATCCGAATACGCTTTGGTGGGGTTTGGAGATACCACCAGGGCGTTGGTTGCATGTGAGTTCATAACGTTGCCGGGACACTGCGCAAGCGTTTGCATGTTCTGCAGACGTCCATTTGTTCGCTGTCCAGATGTCGGTGAAGCCCAGCAAGCCGGGCAGCCCAGGAAGGCCATATCCAGTAGTCTGTGGTGCACTTGGGATGGGGATGGGCTCACCAAATGTCCAGCAAAAACCAACAAGACTTACTTGTCGTCCCTTGTTTTTAACGGCAATCGCATATTCGACTGTGGGTGATATGTCTGCACTGATTTCGGCGAGCTTGCCTTGAGGGAATCCCGAGCTCGGGCCCGATGATGATTGTCCTGTTCTCATGACTTATGGAAACTCATAGTGATTAGTGCTGGCATGTAGCAAAGGGGGCCGACATGGAAGACTGCGCCTCAAAAAGCAAAAGCACACGCACACGCACTCGCCACCCACACACACATACACACCTACTCACCAACCCACACACACACACACGAAAGCGAGGGAAACACAATTCCGATGCGGCAGGCACGCTATGTATCATTGGTCGATGTTGAACGAATGGCTAAAGACTAAGCTTCTACTTTGCGTTCCCCGCCTTGGCTATCAGGTGATTGTGCATAGTTGCGCAGCTGTGGAGTTCTTTGTAGCAATTGCCTCCGGCAAATTTCCCGGGCCTGGCAAAAGATCAACGAAGGATCACTTAAAGACCACACCCTCCGCATCGACATCCGGGCCGGCAGACCAGGCTGCAGCTCCAAGCGCGGCGCCACACACGCCACCGGGTCCACCACAAAGGACAAATCATTGTCTACGCCACCATCCACTTACATGGCTGGAAGACAATTTCACTTTTCAACATTCTGTCGACATCCATTTTCGCCTGTGGCGCGAATGAGCGGACATTTCTAGGGGTTCATTCTACTTGAAGCTTGCATTGGGTTGCTTTTGTTGCAGAAGGTGTTTCTGCTTTTGAGGGCTCAGTTCGGGTTGTTTGGTTGTTCCCGAGCATTCGAGGGAACCCGGGATAGGGTGATGTTTGTTCGCTTCTCACCTAAGCAGGGAAACCACAGTTTGTTGGTTCTCTTCAGTGTGTTGATTTTTCTCTTCGGTTCGTTGGCATCAAGAGCCATATGCTTGCACTGGAACAGTATATAGGGTATATTCCTGATATGTTTGGGAATCAATCGCAAGAATTGTTTGAGTGCAACTAGGCTCAGCGCCGCATCTCCGAACAAGGAAAACGAGGAGGCGCTAATGTGGCTCTGCGAATTCAAAAGCCAAGTGTGTATGGGACCGTGGGACACGTTTTTAGGTGCTTGCAGAATGCTTGCTTTTGGTGATGCTTTTGCAAGCTGTGCCTTATCAACAGCAGCAGATCAGCAGATCAGTGTTCATCTCGCACTTGATTCCACAACTCTAGCAACAACATTACACATCATTTCACCAAAGCCACGAGGGTGAGAATGTGCTTTGGGCGCAGGAGCTGCCAAACAACCTGCGTTGGCTAAAGAGGAGAGAAGAGTCCACTCGAACTTTGTTCGCATTTTTGCGGGGTAGGTGGTTCTTTTTGTCGGGGTTTTAGGGTATGTCTCCTATCCCACCTCCTTAAAGTGGAATTGGGGAGAGGGGTGATGTGGTGGAGTTGCATTTGATTCGATGCCTCATTTGCGAAGGAGACTACGTGAATGAAATGAGGGAGGGGGGCTTCCGCCCCCTCACCTTGGACATGTTTCGGGGCTGTGCGACAGCCTTTCACTCGCGAGTCCTTTTTATCATAGGTGTTTCAGGGACTCTCCCCCAGCCCAGGTAGCATCCACCGAGAAAGACATCTTCCTAAATTGTTCTTGGCCCTATGAGGCTTATTGAGTCTTAAACTTGCTTTGAGCCATATCGGTCCTTTTTGATGAATTGTGTCGCTTGATCTTGCCAACACGCTTCCATGGCTTAAGTGAGGGACAGTCTGAAACACATGTTGGAATTGTGTTCTATAGTTTAGATGTGTCTGAAGCTTTTAGCCCGAGGGCTGGTGACCCCATTTTCTTCAGCCGAGCAGACATTGTTGATGCATATTGCAGCGTGTGTGACCTGCATCCTGCAGATAGTACAATTCCGGCAAGGTGCTTGCTTACTTTCAATCCGCAACTTTAGGCCGAAGGGTGGGCATGTTGGGGTTTTCTTGGGAGACTTGTTGTGGTTGGCTCAGGGCTCACTGACTGGTTTCCAAGCGCAGGGCATCTTTTCCAAGCGGAAGGTCTTGGAGAAGGAGGTGCAAAGTGGTCGCAGTCTTCTCCGGAGTCCGTTTCTTCGGCTGGCTGTTTGGTTCGGCTATTTCCCGGGTTGCTTCGGTTGGATGTTCCCCTTGAACCTGACGCCTGGGATGATTTGGATGCAATGTTTGGCTCTGCTATGCGATTTGTTGACACATGTGAAGATGTGGGTGTAGTCTCCACGTACCAATTGCGGGGCTTCGTGGTTGTTTGGTTTAGCTCAGTACGACTTTGTCCAACAGAGCTTTCCTATCATTTGAAGTGCATCACTCGGATACTTTTTGCTGGTCAAAAGGTTATCCTACATGCTCACGCAGCCATTTTTCCTCATATGGGCCTGGGCGTGTGGAGAGGCAAACAGCACCCGGATATAATGTTGACGAGGCAGGCAGACGGCCAGCTTCTCCCTACGTGCGGCTTTATTCCTGCAATAGGGCTAACATCTTCAAGACAATCATGCAGCCCCACGGCCAGGTATTTGCCAAACTGCTCGGCACGCGGGCTAAGCCTAATCAGCAAATCGAGAAGCTCCTCTCCTTTTTCCGGAGAGTCTCGGCCAAATATCCAGCTTTCGGTTGCCACGGCAAAGCTTCAGCTTCACTGAACGTCACTGCCCGATTTTCAGAGCCATGGCTCTCAGCTTCGTGTTGGCCCCCACTTTGCGGCCGCAAACCGCGACTGGCAGCGCCGGTGCAGCAAGGCAGGCGCCCCGGCAAGGCAGGCCAGAGACTGCGGAGGCGGGTCGGGGGGGGGGAAGAAGAGGTGGTCAGACACTCATGGCGGCAGAGTGCTGCAGCTCTAGTTAGTTAAACGTTTTGCACTGAACTGCAGACTGCCTTTGCCCTGCCTGAAAGTTTGAATTGTGTGAGCATGAGGATTGTGTTGTGCGTTGGTCAGGATTAGACTGCTCTAAGATGCATGATCCGCTTGTTGACCAGCACGCAATTCGATTAATTTATTTGCTTTACCAAGTCAAGATGCATCACCTACGAGACAGAATGTCAGGCTCGGGGCGGCAGAATCCTGATGCAGGCATGCCGGGATGGACACTGGGGACAGTTTGACAGCTTGCAAGATCTTGCAAGCTATCTGCACATATCTGCACCACCTAAAGCGAGCTGACAAGTGTGTGTGTGTGAAGAAAGATCACCCACGACAAAGGCCAGTTTCTTGTAAATCCTGAAAACAGGTTGGTGAAAGCTGTGGCTTGTGTGCAGAAGCTGTCTGAAATAGGGCTGCCAGCAGCAGTCAAGCGAGCGACGTTTGATTTTATCTTACAGGGGATTTACCGAGGCGAATGCTGTTTCACTTGGATTCGTGTTTGGCTCTCCAACTTGGCGAGAGGAGTCAAACCAAGCCTCACGTGACGTTTGACTTGTCTACAGGCCAAGTGCCGCTGCTGAGGTGTGGGATAGAAATCAAGCAGACCTGAGCTTGCCGACCTTGCGACCTCTTTGCTGGATCTTGCATGGCAACAAGTTTGACGTCAAGAAGGGCTGCATGCCGGGGGTTCTCGTGTTGTACCATTGTCACCCGCACCCTGGTCATCACCCGTACGCTTGGAGGCAGTGCAGCAGGTATGCACAGCTCCAGTGAAGTGGCTCATGAATGGAGGTCAGGCTAACTACAGATCCAGCCGAGCCACGCCCACTGATGCAGTCGATTTGGCGGAAGCTGGTTTTGGTGTTGAGGCCTTTGGAAAACATGTTTTTTCGTGGAGCTACCAAACTTACTCATATCCAAGCCAGCTTATTCCTGCTTATGTACCAAGACGAATGCCCTTTGGATCAGCGCACTTAGTGATTTGGAAGCGTGCATGTATTGAACACGAGGCACCGCTCCAGTTGGCATGTTTCATGTTTTCATCTATCCCAAATGGGGCCCTTAGCCACCAGCTTCAAACCGTGACTCTGACTCTTGATGCAGCACCTTTGGACTGCAAACATGGCTTTACATGTCCCCAGGACGCCCCCGCCCTCATTTTGCCAAAAAGAGCCTGCTTCTGGATTCGAGTATGGTTTTAAAGGGAAGCACAAAGGAACCCAACCAGTGATCCAAATATGTCATAGGATCCAATCCACCCCTTCCTCCCTCTTCCCCTAGTCTCCACTAGTTTCTCCTAAAGGCCCCCAATTAAGGCTGTAAGGCCTAATTGAAGCCTTTCGGAGAAACCAGGGAGGGGATTGGGGAGTGGGGGGGGATTGGGAAGGTGGAAGGGTTTGGAGTCTACAGCGAGTGCCAGGTTGCCTGCGCGGGCGCGGGCATGGCAAAGGCGGGGCGCGTTTTGCGCCGCCGGGGAGCGGTTCTGTCGTTGCTGCCGGCGGCTGCTTGGGCCGAGGAGGCGGGGGCTTGCCGGGCATTCCCAGCGCCCTAACCTGGGAGCTCTCTTGACAAGTATTGGCCATGATTAGATTCAAGTATGGGCCAGAAACCGACATATTGCTTCTTGTGGGAGAGCCTCTAGGGTAGAAATCCGAAGGGGCCTGAATTTTCACATTCCCTATTTGTGCCGGGGTCGTTGCGGCAGGGACAGGGTCGTCTGACTTTTTGCAAGCTTGAACCTACATGGCATATCTATGAGCATCCCTGGCTGACAAGGATACGCAATGCGGGGTCCCGGCCCTTCGATCCATAGCCGGGCCCACCCTGTGAAGCTGCTCCCTGAATGCGTCATCTCTGGACGAAGTGGGAAGATGACGTGGATGCACATGGATCAGTCAGGTTTGGCTTAGTCTTCGTATTGGATCGTATTGGAACATCATCTTGTTGGCCGTTTTTTTAGGGGCCTCTGCTGAGTAAGTATTCCTACCTTTACCACCAGCGTGCCCTCCGAGCGACCTGTTTCTGTTTGACGCACTTTGCAAAACTCGCTCAAAGGACTCCCAACCACATGCATGCGTTGCATGCACGCCCCAACGTCAGAGGAACTCGGCTGGCATCGGTTTTGCTCAATTGCAGTGGCCCAGGTGCCATAGCTTGCTCGTCTTGAAGCGATGCCTGCCCCAAACGGATCAGAGCTTGTGACTCTTTTGCGTGTTCGTGCCTCGTTTCTGAGTTTCCACAAATGCAACCCGCTGCCACAAGAGGCCAGTGTTTGTTGTTCCCACGTGTATTGAAAGCTGCATGGCGTCGAATTGCCTGTGATGTGCTGCATTTGTTTTCACACTCGCAAAGCAGAGAGACCTCTCCATCTTACAAGACACACCGCAGATGGGCAGATCAGTACACCAGTCCAGTATAGTAATCAATGCAGTTCACCTTGGGAGCCAAATTGGGAACTCAAATTGCATGTTCGAAGGCACACCGGAATCTGACTTTTCATGTCGCCCCTTGTGGGCCGGCTATGAGGGCCTCACAAAGATCGGCAACGACCAGTTCAGCATCGAGTTGCCGGCCGGCTTCTCTTGGAACGAGTGCCTCGGATATAGGCTTCTGCCGGAAGTTGGTTTTCCTCCAAACGGCACACGAAATGGGCAGATCCACTGTCTCATGGTGGTTTGAGTGCCCCCTTTAGGGCTCCTAGCTTCAGGTTTGTCGAGGGGACGCGCAGAAATAGAAGTGGTGTGTTTGCGGAGTCAGAGATGTGAGTGGCTTGCCTTCAGTCAGGTGGTCTATGCATGATGGCTTACGCAAGACGGTTCACCTATGTGCTCAACAAATCGTCCAGAAGCAACACATGAAACACACGAGGCTTTGTGCACGGTGTCTGGGTGTTTGTCAATCTCTGCAGCTACTACTCGAATCTAGTCAAGCTGATCCGCTGCGTCCCTAGCTTGACTGCTGATAGGACTGCTAATTACCAATAACATTGTAGCATGCGGCCTGTAGTGCACAAAAGTGCCATGCCATGATGACTTGCTTCCTTCTATGAAAAGGAGCTACCTGTGACAACGGTGAGGCTTTCTATCACTTTATCAACTAGGGCACCCTCTCCCTCCAAGGCTTGAGGTTCACAAGATTCTCGGGATGTGCCATAGCGTGCCTTTGGGCTATTGATGAACACGAATGGCCACGTTTGTTGCCAGTCAGGACAGGTGTTTGTTTCTTGATTATGGGGCCCTAGGTCTTGACGTGGTCGAATTGTCCAACAGGGAAGCTGGGTTTAGGTCCACCTTGGTGTGACAAAACAAAAGCTTGTTATGCAGGTTCACCAAAGCATTCCCAAGCGAAGCATGGAACCCAGACCATCAGGAAGTTCATCTTGGCCAAGACGCACCTCTACGAGCGCAGCGTCACGGCTTCGGATCCTTACGGCAAGTGGAGACTTGGCGGGAAAGGGTGAGGCACCAGTTTCATGTGCCAAAGCAAGCGTGCGCCGAACATGCTCAACGCTTGAACTGTTTCATGTGCATTTCTCCAAGGAAGGTGGGACTTACCATTGATGAGGTCTTTGCCAACAGCCTGCGCTCGGCTTAGTGTCAGTTTCGAAGCTTGTTTTCGAGGCCGTTGGCAAGCTGGTGCTTGCGCGCGCCTCCCTAACCGAGGTCCGAGGTGGGGTCGGCCAACGTGGTCGCCGACCGGATCGCCGCGATCGAGCGGCAGAAGGATGGGAACTTTGAGACGGATGTGCTGAACGTGACCGGGAAACCAGATAGCAACATTTATTTGTGTTCTTTGATAACGTGCTGGGAGAAAGAATGATCTCCAAGCACGGACATGGACAGGAGACCTTTTCAAGCGGGCTGTTTCCCGAAACCCTCACGGCTTCCATGATTGGAAAGAAGATAAGCTCTAGGGTTGAACATTGACCAAGGCGAAGGAAGCGCCAGCCGGGGACATCCCCACGTATCTCATCGAGTACCGCTGCGATACCTCAAGAGGCCGAAGGGAGAGGTGGAGGGGGGAAGACCAAGAGCTCCTTCTGGGAGGGACGCGGGAACAAAACCTGTGGTTCATGCAGATGTTGTTTAAGCATCAGCAGTTCAGCAGTCCCAAATGTGGGATGTTTCTTTGCCTGCATGTATTGGCAGGTGCTGCAGCTAAAACACTGCAGCCGAGCACATGTGTCCCAACTGACAGTCTGCATTGTTGGGTGAAAGCAGTTGCTGCATGCTTGAGGCTTGACAAGTGTGCAATTCTCCCCGGCTCTGATGGGACACGATCAGGCGTGGGGAGTATGACTCGCATATTCCAGGTGGGCGCATGTTACCAATCCGCTGGCATCATCGGTCGACAAGGTTTTACTGGGCGGTGAGGGAAGGCTGGTATCTTGTCACATGTGCAATTGGGAGTCCATCCGCAACCTCTATTCTTCATGTAAGCTTGAACAAGAACTTTGGAGAGTTTCGGGTGTCAGTGTTCGTGCCGTTCCTGAAGGAGTGCCCTTTGTTTCATAAGCCCAAATTTGTGGTTGGGTTTGAACCACCATGGACACTGTTGTCAGTTTCTTTGGCCACCCCTTTGACCAGTTTCATGTTTTTGCTGGGCAGCGCCGAGTGTGCGCCTTGCCTTTGAGGCTTCAACCACTTCCTGGTGAGAGTGGCGCTGCAGAAAGGCCGCCTCTACACGGTGACCTCCCAGGCGGCGGATTTGTCGGAAGTTCGGAGAAGTCTGTCGTTTCTTTTGGACTGAGAGGGCGCTCGCTTTCCTGGTCTTGGGGCTTTCCACGGAGAGGGTGGCCCCGAGTTCCCGTGTTCCCTTTGCCCTTTGGCCCATGCCGGGAAGGCTGAAGGCCACTCGTGACACTCGCTTTCCTCCGGCGAGTCCGACTTGGGACCGGGACGGGCCAAGTCGCGTGCTCGCGCGCTGAGGCGCCCGAGGAGCAGTGGAAGAAGCTGGAGGAGCCGACGCGCGGCTCCTTTGAGTCCTTCAGGCGTCGAGGGAGACGCGACATGCATTCCATGCATTGGCTTTCTCGGTGCCTGCCTTTCATGCCGGATGCAAAGGATCCCTTTCTGTTTGGCTTGAAAGTGAAAGGGAAACATCCGCGCAAGAAGCTATGCAGGGATTGGGGAAGGCAGGAAGGCGGGAGGAGCTGCCCTCCACCAAGCCTTGCTCTTCACATCTCACTATAGTTGCCCAAGGCCCCTGAGAGATTTCTGCCACACCGTCCAAGAGAGATGCTTTGGATGAACATGGGTGCGCAACCCACAGTCCACAGCCCTCAAACCAGATCCATCAGAAGCAGGCTACAGGTCGACGCCAATGGCAAAAGGACACCCCTAGAGTTTCCCCTGCCCGCTGTGAGTTGTTTTATTCTCTTTTTTTTTTCTGGCCACTTGATCTTGCAATCAGTTGCTTCGTTGCCAAGCAGGCCCCCATCAACTTCGCCCCCACTTTTATTTCACGAGCCGAGGAATTGTCCTTCTGTTGTGCTTCGTTTGGCTGTGTGTTTTCTTGTCCTATTTGCGTTGCTTTTCCTCAGCTCTTTGTTTTCCATCTTATCTCGGCGCTGAAACTGTGGACCTGCGTGATCGCAAATGGCCGCGTGGATCAAAAAAACTGCTTCGCCCCAACTTTTACATGAGAAGGGTGCCTTTATTTCGATGGCCGCCAGTAACAGGGTTGCTCGCCTTTGGCGCTGTCTGTTTTGACCCTGCCTCGCGAGGCTTGCGGTATGAGAGAGCAGCCCTGCTTCCGCTGAGTCCTATTCCGATGTCTAGGGCACACCGAGGTTTGGTGAGCGCTTAAGTTTTGCTTGGCGTTACCCCTCATTTCGAGAGACGCATTTTTTGAGCAAGAAACAATAAGCCAGCTGCTAGACCAGCAAAATGGACCAGAGAAGCAAATCGTTGTCTCATGGGTGCCACTTACCTTCCCAAGTCGCAAGGCAAAGTGCTGCGCGGGCTTTGCGTGGAGCGGGGTGTACCAGAGACCTGCGGAACGAAAAGACGCCAAGAGAGCGCACTTTTGACATGACCAAAGCCACAAAGCAAAGCGCTTGACAGCGTTGCAGCTTCATGAAACATACTCTGCATGAGCTCAGATGAATTTTCCTACCGTCCGACCTGTTTCAGTTGGACTGGCCTCACACCCAGAGCTCGGAAGGAGGTCACACACAGGCTGGGGTTGCTCACGCTGCTTCCCACCAAAAATGCTGCAGCGTTCCCGCTTGACTGGCATTTTAATCTCCCCATAGCCTATGGGCCAAAATCATTAGAATGGGTTTGTGGGGTACTTTAGAACCTCCATTAAGACATGATCAGAAAAATGATAATATGTCTGGTTATTTTGGCCCCTATATAGCACTTGGGAAGGTCTAGGTTGCATTCCGATGTTGGCTTGTTCTTGTGCCACAATGGTTGCTTTGATCTTGGCCGCCGAGGCCTACACAAACAGAAAGGAAGGTCAAACATCAAACGTTGCTTCAGACGAGATGACCAGCGGAAATGGAAGAGGAAAAGGCTCTTTTTCCCCCAACTCTTGGGCCTCTGCTGGGTAGCTCTCATTCCTGGAATCTGGAATGGGTGCGGTGTTGCAAATCTTCACCATTGCTAGGTTCAAGGCACATTCTGCCAGTCGCTTCCAGCTTGCGTTGGTTGTCTTGGCATTTTGGAACGATTGGGCTTTTGAGTGGAAAGCGTTCCACAAGTTTCAACACACCTGCTTTGGAGGCTCCCTGTAGGTCTTTCATGATTAATTATTGGCAAGTTTAGTCCGTCATTTTGCCGAATTATTAGGGTTTCATGTTTGTGGCGCTTTGGGTGCTTTGGGTGTTTTTTTTCGGGGGCCCGAGGGGCACTTTGCCGTTGGCAGAGCTATGGAAGGTGCCTGAACTGGCGCTGGTGGAGGCTTTGCGCACCGCTCCTCCAGGCGGGAGTGGTGAATGGCTTGCGTATGAACAAGTGATGGCGGCTGAGGCGTTTTTTGTTGATCGTGTTTGTTTTGCTGTTTGCTTTCCTAGGTATATTTAGCCACGTAAAGTCACGCAGTATTGGCGTCATCATGACGGTGGACCACAGGTGCTTTTCATTTCACGCGCCCTATTGTAGGATAGTTTTTGTGTACTTCTGATGTGACAGGTTCGAGGGTTTCCTCGTTTGACTCGGCTGATTTGTGTGCCTTCCTGATTCCATGAGCTTGCTCCAGAGTGGGAGTCCTTCGGGAAAAAAAAGCTAGCGTTTCTCGGCTTCGACTTTTTTTTCGGCGCGTGCTTTGTATTCCAATCATGCGCCGCAAAAGCGAACAGAAGGGTCCCAAAAGGGGGAGACGTGGAGAGGCGCAACTTTGACATCCCTTCTTGGAACTTTCCTGGAATCTGCGCAGCACCTTGCCAGAACCAAACCCTGTTTAAGGAACCCGTTTGGGTTGGCTCTAAAGGTGTTGAAGGGAAGCCAAGGGATATCAACCATGTTTGGGGGAAGTCCCTTGATTTTACGACAATCCCAGATGTCGCTGTTTGGGAAGAGAACGAAGCAGCGCCAAGCACTGTGCAGCTTGAGGTCAGCGGTACGCGGCGCTATGTGGGCTCCGGAAGGCCTCAGAGGGGTTGCATTGGCGGGGGGCGGACGGCAGGGGTGGATATCATGTAGCTATGCGCGTGGTAATTATTCATGTTTATTGTCCTAAAAGAGGAAACATCAGAGAAGTTGGTGCATGCATCCCCATGGGAAACTATGTGCACTCACCCGGTTGCAATTCAAACCGAGCTGCTTCTTGAAAACCAGCAGGCCTTGCGCAGAGGCGCGGTCACTCCGAGCCTCCGAGCTGCATGTGCCCTTGGAAAGGAAGGTCACAGCTCAAAATCAAACCGCATGTCTTTCCAAGGCCTTTGTTCATACTGCCATGTGCGCGCCTGCACTCGCCTGCGCTCGCCTGTTTCGGCAAGCTTGCTATCGAGTCGCTCTGTGAAGGGTTCCACCAAGACGGAGCAAGGTGGCACCTCTGCTCCAGCCGGGCCTCCAATTCAGATTGAACCGGTCGGAATTTGCCCTCCAATTGTGACGGATCCCCTCTACAATGGATCACCTTTGAATGAAGACAGCTTGTTAGTCCTGCGAAAAAAATGGTGAGCCCCAGAAAAGGATCTCTTCTTCCTAACTCTCGGGTCACGTTCCCATGGAGTCCGCGTTCCCGTTGACCTTTGGCAGGCGCTCGCCCAGCCGCGGCCACCCATTGCCAACGCTGGGGCGACAGAATGGGGGGGGGGGTGTTGAGCGGTTTCCAGGAGAATAAACCCGGGGATTGCTTGTCTTTGTCCCGCTTTTGAGCAGGAAATCATGGTCTTAGACAAACCCTGAGCCTTGTATATGGTTGATGGCTGCTTGGATTTCCGTCCTCAGGTCTAGATTACCCTGATGCGCGCAAGCGTGTGACTCGCGCAGCTTGATGGGCCACCCATCATGTCTCCCAGTCAGCGTTCGATGCGTTGGACCGTGCATTGGCAATGGGTCCACTTTTTGATTAGGTTTTGGCAAACCCAGGTCAAGGGGGAGATCAAGCTTCTCACATGGACTGCAGTTGAGTTTGGGAGATCAGATCATGGGCTCTTCTCAAAATGAGATTGACCCCTCAACACGGTGGTTGATGTGTTTTGTCCCAAACAGCGCCATCCACAAAGGGGCCCGTATTTCAACGGTCCTCATCTTCCAAAGGAGAGGTCCGGCGATGGCCAGCTTGGTTTGGATACATGCAAACGTTGAAACGGAACAAATTACAGTAGCAACGTAGATGTTTGGAGAGACGGCGGCCAACCCTCTCATGAAAGCCTTCCTCACCAGGAAACGATGATTCCTGGCAAGATCCAGTCTTGATCTTTAAGCCTTCAACCTTATGCAGTTGTTTGTCTTCCCGCTAATTTGCGAGGACTCTTTGCAGTGGTAAAGCAATGATCATAGCCCGGCATTCGGTTTGCTTCCATGCAGAAGGGACGAAGCAGGGTCCCCCATTCGCCCTTCCTGCATTTTCCTTGCCCCTTCCTCGGTGTAATGTCTGCACAGCAGGGTCTCAAGCCTTTGGGCAGTTTTTACTCGGTCTTCGGGATTCAGGTGCTGCGCTGCGGGGGCGCAGAGCTTCTGATAGCGGCACTCCGCACGGATGGCCCAGAGTCCCAGACAGGACCGGGTGAGACAAGAGGTGAGAGTTGCGGAGGCCCTTGTGGATCCTTATATGAGGTTTTGGATAGTAGCTGACACGGCTTGGAATCGGACAAATGACAAGCTGGGACCGGATCTCTGGGCCTGCAGGTATTTTTGGCGCTCCTTGAGGGATTTGTTCCTCCAATAACCCCTAGATTCTCCAGCCAGATCCGGTCCGCTTCTGCTGAAGTTCGGCTTTCGGTTATAAACAGCCGCACAGTTGACGGAGGTTCGTCATTTCGCCCCAGTGAGCAAGGGGCTGTGGCCAGCATTAACCAAATATGTACTCATGTGGACCAAGCTTCATCGCTTGAGTCGTCCGTTTGCGATTCATCGACTTGTTCATGGAATTGGACATCACTGTTGCGGGTTTGTCAGCAGTCCTTCTCGAGAGGGACCGCCCACTTGGTAAAATACATGGCAGTTTCGATGCAGAAGAAGCTTGAGCTTGGCCTTTTGACGAAACACGGTTCGCTTGATGGCAAAGGAATCATAAGACTGGGTTCAAGCATGTGACCAGTTGCAAGTGTTGCCCCAATGCACCGACGGAATACGCGGAACCGCGACCATCAACCGCATCACCAAAGTGGAATGTGGAGAATGTGGAAACAGCAGCTGCTTCGCCTGCAAGAGAACCTCCACTGCACTCGCTTAGATGATGTGTCGGAAGGGGTTTTCAGCTTAGGCTCCGGTGCAAGTCCTGGCGGCAGAGCTGAGGCGTGGCGGGGGGTCTCGCTTTGTTCGGCCGAAAAATGGCTGGGCCCAGGCCAAGAGGGGGAAAGCGACTTTGTGTTTGTTAGTGGAACAAGTGGGGGGATAACAACAACAATGGGACACTTTGTTGTGTGGAGCACAGCCAAAAGTTACCATGAGGGGAACTTCGAAAAAGCAGGCCTATTAGGCATTCAAAAGCAGCTTATGCCCGATCGGGGAAAGGAGAGAAGAAGCGAGGGAAGGAAGGAAGGAAGGAAGGAAGGAAAGAAGGAAGGAAGGAAGGAAGGAAGAAAGAAAAGAAGGAAGGAGGCAAGAGAGCTACAAATTAAGGAAGTCAAGGAAGCAAGGAAGCCCGGAAGCACGAGCAAGGAAGCAAGAAGTAAGAACGGCAGGAATGATCGGGACCTTCGTATGACCACGGAAAGGGTTCGTGCAAGGGATAGGTATTGGAGCGGAATAGGATCAAAACACCCAACAATTCAGCCGAGACTTTAACACTAAGGATTCAGAGGAGACTCCAGTTTGACACATGAAGACTTTGGTAGCGGCTCTTATGCACAGAGGGCACCCTGCAGGTCTAGCTTCACCATCAGATCCTGCATACATGTGAAAGGCTTTGAGAATTGCTGAACATACCCTGAACTGAACCTGCCTTCCAAACCTAAATCCTGTTTGCAGTAACAAGCCTTCAACCCACCCCTGGCAACCAACCTTACACACAATCCAAATCAACACTGAAATTATGATGCTGCCTTTTGCATGGCGTTGCTGCGGGCCCGCTTTCACTTTCCATGTGGATATGCCTGGATGTTGAGCGGACAGATTCGCATCCTTTTTTGACGCTGATTCCAGCTCCCGACAGCTGCCTGAGTGCTTGGTGGCCTGGGATATCCGGCTCTCAGCTCCTGTCAATCAGTCAAAGCCACTAGTTGGAACCGCCGGAGGCACCAAATGAGAGCCGCAGAAAAGCGCAACGGTGAGTCACTCCCGTTGGCCCGTTGGCCTTCGGAGCAACCTTGTGGAGGTTCCCACAAGGCGCCACCAGCCGCTCGCAGGCCGCCTGGTGCTTGGTGCAGCTGGCCAGCGGAAGCTCGGCACAAACCCGGCAGCTGGTGGAGGCGAAAGGGAGGGAGTGGCAGTGTGGCTACTGTCAGTGACGAACTGGTGGCGCACTTTCAATACAAAGCTCATGGTAGGGCAATAATGTGTGTGTAGCGATTTAGGCCCTATATTATTTACATTGTCTTTGTTTGTGTTGTTCGGTTTTTGCTGGAAGCACCCTACGAATTGGTTGATGCACATCAGCCCCCGCGTAAACAATGCCCATGACAGGATTCTCAGCTAAAACCAGCTATAGTATCGTGGCATAGAGTTGTTTGATGGTGAGAAACATGACTTGTGTGGCAAATGCTCAAGCACGGAACAAAACCATCGAGGGGACGCTTTGTTGCAAATGTTCCTCGCAAAGTCCTCGAAGGTCTCCTTGAATTTGGAGTGTGCCACAGGGGTCACGAGGATAGGTTAAGCTTCACAAATTAGCAGCAACACCAAAGTGGTCGTAGGCAAATCCAAGGGATCCTTGTGCGAACCAAATGCGTCGCACTCACGGGCCTCTCGGGACGACGCAGGGATGCTGATGCATCAACTCTCAGCAGGATTTTGACATCAGGATATACCGACAAAAGAACGCATGTTGCACCCATGTACGTGCTTTTGAGGATTTCTGAACACTTTCAGCTTTCCACACTTACACTTTCGCTGCTTCCGTGTTTCCAGTTTCTGCCGAGAAAGTAACATTTTTTGCAAACACGGCCAGGGCATGTGGCGCACGTGGCCTCACACCGGATGGAGATGCAAGGCATGAGGTGGAGTCAGGGCCGATTTCCGTGTTATTCCCTGGGCGCCTTCCTACATGTACCTTTTTCAGATATGAAAGGAACACTTTCTGTTTTTGTGTTTCCGCATCCCCCCAGAGTTTCGACCGTGGCTTGCATGCCACGCAGGCCGGGGCAGCATCGGCGGCGATGGACACGTTGGCATCCTGCCGCGACAGGTCGGGGCGCGTCTAGCGGTCGGTCATCGGCGAAGCGAAGATGCGCCAAGCCGTGCTTAGCGGCGCCAAGGGTTGTTTCCCCCTCACAAACCGTACGAGAAAGGAGCCACTCTGGTGTTTATGGATGGTAAACGGCATCCTTTTTGTAAGTCACGTGGAGGCTATGCTGACCATATTGAATTTCCAGTCAGCCAGTGCAAACCTGATGTCGGTTGGGAAGAGCTATGAGTGCTTGGCAAAGGTGGGTGAGTCTTCTCGGCTCCAATTCTAGCAACAGTCCAGCAAGGCATGTTTCATGGAACGCTTTGCATGCTCGGACACCATTGGCTGCTTTTTCACCTGCTTTGCGGCTCAAACCAGTGGGAATTTGGGGGCCCTCTCGTCGCAGGAAGGCCCGAAAACTCCCCCCACCCCCGCCCCAAGTCCAAGTATGGCAGAACTGAGAGAATTGAGGAACCTGCAGAAGCCATGGAACCAATTGAGGTTGAGATTTCTGATTTCTTGAAAGTATGGAATATATGGTATCGGCCGAAGCTCATGAGTGCGCACCCGTTTGGGCACAAGCCGCAGATCACATCTCGAATTTCATGGACTATAGAGACATCATTCCTTTGTAAGGGCGTGGAAAGCTGAAGGCGTACGACCTTGAATTCGTTTTCAAAAGTTCTAGCGGAGGTCATAAAATCAAGAAGGCATGCTCACCCTTTCCAGCGGAAGCACCTCGATATCTCTAAACGAATCCTGTGGACAGGCAAGAGGCGCAAATCAAACAGGCAAATACCAGCGTTCGGCAAACGCATTTCGTGGACAGGTGAGAGAAGCAATCAAATGAAGAATGCCAGTGCAAGGCAGAGATGTTTGTGTATGATAGTGTTGACAGCACGAAACTTGTTGTCATCGCCACTGGAAAGCTAAGTGTGCTGTCTTGGTCACTTTGAACCTGCATAGATTTCCCCGGCATTGTTGCTCGAGCTCTGGTTTTTCGCAAGACCGCGCAATTGACTTTGAAACCAGACACACTGCCGCCATTTCTGCTCCTTTGGCAAAGGACGGCCCATAAAGATCTCTTTCAAAAGCCGCGAGGCACGAGCTTGTTCTGCCGCGAATGGACGTACGATGGACTTGGCCTAAAAAGGCCACAACAACACCTCAGATTTGTGCATGTATGTGTTCCCTTTTAAAGCAGCCACAGCGGGCACTAGTACCTCAAAAAAGCACGGACCCATGGGTCAACACCGCAGCATGTTGAACTTATTATGGGTTGATGAGTTCGCTGCATTGCCATGGGATGCGGCTACAGCGGAAGCAAGAGTCCTGCAGCGGTTCTTGCAAGGAATTGGAGCAATGGCAAGTCTTCCACAGCAGGTGCATTGAAAAAGCACCGCATTGTTGGGCGACAGAGGTGCTGCAAGTTTTGGCCGAATATCCCGAAGACCTCGAACACCCCGAAGATCCCGAAGATCAAAAGGAAAGTGCAAGCTTTTGGAGTATTGGTGTGGTTGCTGTCGGGTTGCTGTAGGGTTGGTTGAGGACTGGTTTTGTTTCGGGCTGGTTTGCGTGTCAAGGATGGTGAAGGGTTGGTTAAGATTGGCTAAGGGCTAGGGTGGAGTTGGGGCTGGTTTAGGGCTGCTTGTGTGGCTTTCGGATTGGCATCTGGTTTAAGATAAGGGTCTAGGGCTGTTTTAACACTGGTTTAGGCTTGGCTTTCAGTTGGTTTAGGGTGAACTAAGGATTGAATTAACACTTGTTTAGGGTTGGTTTGCGGCTGTGACTAGTGCAGGGTTGTGAGTCAAGTGCTGGTCAGGGTTGGTGTTGCAGTTATATAGTTTTGGGTGGCTGTACAGGTTTCAGGCCGCCTTAGGATTGACTCAGAGCCGGTTAAGGGTGGGTTTGGGCTTGGTTTAGGGTTGGTCCAGGGTTACTATTTGGATAATGGCTAGTTTAAGGGGTTTGTTAGGCCGTTTTGGGGTTTTGTTTGGTTGGTTTAGGGTTGGTTCACTGCTGGTCTAGGGCTAGTTGTTGAAAGTTTCGGCTGCAGCGCTGGTTTAGGGTACGTTTTGAGGTCGGTTTGCGGTTGGTTCAGGCTTGGCTACGACTTGGCTTGGGGTTTAGGTTGTCGTGGTTTGGGTCACTTAGGGTGGGTGTTGGGCGTGTCTAGGGTGGTGTTTAATTTCTCTTTGGAGTTGCTGTAATGATGGGGTTGGTTGGTTTGAGGTGGGTTTGGGGTTGGTCTTGGTTCAGGTTGGTTTAGAGTGGCTTCAAGGTGGGTTAGCCTTCTTTAGGGCTGCTTGATGCTGCTTGGGCTGGTTTAAGGCTGGCTTGAGGGTGGTTTAGATTGGTTTCGGTATGATGGTTGGCTGGTTGAAGGCTTGTCTACGGTTGGTTTCAGGTTGCATTAGGATCACGGCTTGTTTAGGGCTGGGGTTTAGAGTTGGATCAGGCCTGGGTTGGGGCTGGATGTTGGATTGATTTCTGGTTGGCTTGGGGCTAGTTTAGGACTGTTTCAGGGTTGATTTATCCTTGCGGTTGCTTGCATTGGATTTTGTCGGGTTGGCTCTGGCAGGTCAACGGTTGGTTTCAGGTGGGCTAGGGCTGGCTCTAGGTTTGAACCTGGTTGGGTGTGGGTTTGTTCGGAATGGTTTGAAGCTGGTTTTGAAGCTGGTGTAGGCATGGTTCACTGTTGGGTTTCGGGCGATATTAGGATCGTCAGGGTTGGTTCAGGGCTTGTTCAGGGTTGCTTTGTTGCAGTTAGGCTTAGTTTTGCGCTGGCTTGTGTTTAGTTTACGTTTGGTTTTGGATGGCTTTAGGATTGGTTTATGGTTCGAGTGTGAATTTATGTTCTAGGGATGGTTTACAGTTGGTTGAGAGCTGGTGAACCATCGGTTTACTGCTGCTTTGAAGCAGGCATTCATAGGGTTGGCTAGTTTTGACAATCTTCTTGCGATCTTCTCTTCCAGGTGATGGAGTCTATGGACGGTTGGTTTATCTTCGTCCTGGCAGCAGTGTGAAGACTCAACATCTGGTGGATTCTAAGCGCGCTGTTGCTTTTGTTGCAGACGGGAAGTCTTGGGCGCAGTCAATTGGTTTGTCGGCAACTGCGGCTCTTCTGCATCTCATCCTGCGGACATTCGCATTATTTGAAGGTCATGATTGCTCCCTTTCTCTATCTCCTTGTGTGTGTGCCGATGGAAACTAAGATGCAGTTTCTATGTGTTGCAACTTCGCTACTTTGAAACCTATATTTCCGCTGCAGCATTGATGGACCCTTTCGGGGTAAAGCATCACACACTAGTTCGGCTTCTAAGGAGATTCTCTTGCGCAATGGTGTGCAACAGTCATGGATAGATGACGAATCAACGCTTGGCACTCGTACCTTGGATTCGCCTTGTATGGAGTGGGGTTGGGAGCGAGAGAAGAGGGAGAAAGAGAGAGAGAGAGAGAGGGAGAGAGACAGAGAGAGAGAGAGAGAGCATTTTGTTGTGAATGCCAGACTGAAAGTTTACAAGTATCATAGAAAGCAACTTTTGGCCACATCATACTGGTTCTATGTTGACTGTAGGACCACAATACACCAGTGGAATAGTGATTTATTTGATCACAAAGTGGATCACAAAGTGCCGAGGCTTTGTTCTTGCGCTGTTCGATGATGATGGTGCTATCTGGCCAGCTACGTGGGAAGGCCTTCAAAGAGTGATAAGCACATACTATTCTGGCGACATCGCTGAGAAAATGAAGCAACACTGGCCCCTGTTGCGCTCGAGCACATGGAACGAGTTGGAAAAGCTGGCAGGAACCACATTTTCTGCCCTTGAGGAGAAGGAAGGCCAGATGACCCCTGACTTGTACCTCCAATCCGAGGACACTGCGACGAATGCTCGAAGGTTTTTAGCGAATTCTCTGTCCGTGAACCGCCTGTTCTCAGGAACAGGTTTCACGGTTGATGAACGCAATTCCGAACGTAAAGGTACTGCTGAATATTTTGCCGCAAATCGTTTGTTGAGTTCAATCCCTTCAGCACAGCTGGTAAACATCAGCTTGTGACCCAAGTCTCAGAGCCGCTTGGAAATAAATGCATTTTGGCGCTTCGCAAATGAAATCTGATTGGAACCGATTGACCAATGTGAAATCCCTTTTTCATGCAAGAACAACACAGTGACATAAGCTGTTATTCATAAATACATACATACATACATACATACATACATACATACATACATACATACATACATACGCATGTACGTACGTACGTACGTACGTGCGTACGCACATGAATACATACATACATGCATACATACATGCATGCATGCATGCATGCATGCATGCATGCATGCATGCATACGTAGATACTGATAATAGATACATAGATACATAGATGCATAGATGCATAGGTACACAGGTACATAGGTACATAGATACATCGATGCATAGATGCGTAAATAGATAGACAGATACATACATATATACACACATGCATCTATGCATCTATGCATACATACATACATACATACAGACATACATACGTACATACATACATACATACTTAAATATATACATGCACATTCAGATATACATATACACATGCATACACATATACAGATACATATAAAGGTATGCATATACATACATGTACATATCTATATATACATAGATATATATATATATATACATTTACATATACATATACATATACACATATATACATGCATGCATATGCACACATACATACACACACGTACATACATATACATACATGCATACATACATGCATACATAGATACATACATGCATGCATACACACATACATACAGACATACATGCATACACACACACATACATACATACATACATACATACAGACATACATGCATACATACATACATACATACATACATAGATTCATAGATACATGATACCTAGATACATAGATACATACACATGCATGCATACATACATGCAGACATACATTGTTTTGGAGTTCACATATATCATTGATATTATCAACCCTTGGCTAACTAGCACCCACCCGGGTACACACTGACATATATTTTTAGGACACCATCACACATTATATGTTGGACAACTAATTTGACTACATATTTGATTGACACTTTACATGTGCGTATGCATTAAACTTGACTTGTGTCTTTCCGCATATGTTTAGTTGGTGCTATCATGTCTTATCCACAGATGTCGCGGAATATGTCCGGACGAACACTTTAATTTTAAGGAAACATATCATTATCCATGCAAGCAGCGCATAAGCTTGGCATCACCCCCCCCCCCCCCCCCGCAGGGCCTACACAATGCGTGGGTTCCGATGCGCGGGTCGTTCTCGGCAGCTCGGAGCTTTGCGACTGCAGCCTGCAGCTCCTGGCGAATGCCGGGGACCGCGGAACCAAAGAATCACGGACACCAAAGTTCGTGGCCTGGACGGTCTCCTAACCCTTCACTTCCCCCCTGCTTGACATGAAAATACTTGAGGACAATTCTGGAGCCCCCCCATGAGGAAATAGCGACAGACAAGCGGTGTCACCTTGTTTTCCAATGGCAACGTAGTAGCACATGAAGGTTCCATGGTCATTGCGTATATGTGGCGGACCCACCGATCTGTTTGTTGGTTGTCATCATCATGGCAGTTCTTCACTGGCGAAAAGCGGCTAGATCCCTTTGGCTAGGATCCGCTTTTGGGGTTGCGTTTGCCGGATGGCCTGGTCATATTCAGGCGGGAGGGTAAGTGCTTGTGAGCTGAGTTGACTCCGGGCTTCTCATGCCAGGCAGGTTGGCCTACAGTATTGGTTTTGATTTGTCTACTGACGTATGACGTATGCTGGGCTGCCTTGATCGGGCAGCCAGATACAAAACCGCGATAGTCTACAGGCGTTTCCCAGTTCTCTACTTGCGGTATGTAGGAAAACAGCTGTATGCACCGCTTCTGTGCCCATTCTTCCAGCTGCATGGGGGCCCGGCCCCAGTCCCGTCTACGTATCTTTCATGGTGTGTGGTTTAGCTGGGCTTCAAAGTCTCCGCCCTTTGACAAGTCAATTCATGTCCCGCAAAGTGTCAGAGGGTGGTATTTCTTAGGAGAAGCAAATGGGCGCGGCAGATGCCATGGCTTAAGCGGTCCATACGCGTAGTTTTACCTGAGCTGCTTTGACCACTGCTAAAATGATAGCCCTGGCTTGGCTGCCAACACCAAAGCCTGGATCATTGAAGGTTGGCAGACATTCCCAACCAGAAACAGAAGCTGTCTTCGTAGATCCTTACATGAGTGTCTGTGCGCGCGTGTGTGTGCGTGTTTTCACATAAGAGGCCCACAATGAGAGATTTGCCCTTCGGGTTGCAATTCAAGCAGCTCTTTGTCATTCCAAAAAGCACCCACATTAAGCCTCTGCAACTGGCGATTCGTGAGGGCCGTGTCCACCTTTCTCTTGACTCTACAGAATCAAACGGGCTCTAGGAAGCAACCCATTCCCATAAAAGGAAGCCACAAGTTGACAAGGGATACTTTTTGGGTGGGAGCAAATTCCACCCGAGCAGATTACACCAGGCTCAGGCCCCCCCCCAGGTGGCCGGGGACGTGGACTGCAGCTTTCGAGACGGGTTGCTGGATGCCGGCGTGGCCCGGGGACCCAAGGCTGCCGGGTGTGCTTTTGTGTCTGTGCCTTTTCGAGCTTACCTTGTTGAAGTTGGTTGAAAGGGAAACCAAAAAACAACAGGCACGCATGAGTTGTGTTTGATGTTTGGTGAGGGCGGGCGGGAAAAGGGGTAACCCCCAACATTTGGTTGGTAGAGAACACCAAACTCTGCCGTTCCCGGGGTCCCTTGGGTGTGCGAGGGTACCCTTGTCAGCTTGGGGAAACCAAAAGGCCATAGGATCCCCTATTCTGACACATACCAGAGGTTTTTTTCAAGATTAGTCAAGTGCTACAGAAGAACCACGAGTTGTCACTCAACATGTCAAAGCCCCAGATGACACTCGACCCAGAGATTAAACACGGTCCCAAAGCTTTCGCAATGCCCAATTCAGGAACAACATGCCACCCAAATATGGTAAACTCGTACATTGAGACAGTCCTCAGATTCAGCATGTATCCAGCACCTTGCCTCTGAAACCAGGTCTCTGTTGCAGATGTGGAGGATGGGCGCCCTCATACCTCGGCCAATTTGCTACAAGCCACTGTCAGACGATGTTGAAACAAAAATCAATCAGATTGAATCCACTGCAGGTTCCCAGACAGTAGAATGTTATGTCTTGACAAGTGTCCCAATCCCCAAACATTGTAATCACCAACCCAAATCACTTCACATTGTCCGCGCGGACCTGGATTTTCTTGCAAAGTTTGCAAGAACGGCCGCAAGCGTCACCCGCGCTCCGCTCCATTGTGCACGGGGTGATTGGCGGAAATGTCTCGCCAACAAATGCACCAGATGGTGCCCAACACCGTGTACGGGCACGTGCAGATGACTACCAGTCGTATGCATCAAGTATTTTGTTCGTTGTGGGTTTGCACGCGTCAAGGACGCTGAGCGGAGCCAATTACTATTAGTTGTCGTACATTGCTCGGCCAACTGACATATTCAATATGGTAGGCGTTGATTCTAGCTTTCACAACGAAGGTTTGTCGTCCTTGGGCCGTGGTGCAATGGGGAAGAGCACCGACGCCACCCATGGCCTGTGGTGGATACCCAGCATTGGGAAAAGATAAGTAGTCTCATAGAAGTTGGCCAACAGGTTCGCCATTTGGGTTTTCGCCCGATCCCAGCAGTTTAGATCAGCGAGTGACAGCCTTTCGGCGCACCTCAGGTCAATGTTTTGGCCCAACTCTTCGAGAAGGCGCCTGACCAGCTTGAAGCGGGGAGAGGGTGCGGCAAATGCTCTTTAAAAGGAGGATGGGCGTTCTATAAGTGTTCAATTCTGATGGCAGCACCCACATGACTGGATTCGCATGTTTGTGATTTAGGTTTTCTTTCCCACCACTTGAACTGGTTGCGGCCTGCTCACATACCAGTTGTTTTTCGCAAACACAACCTGAGAGCGCCTCAGATGCCTGGGTTCACCTGGAGCGGCATGGAGCGGTGCGCAGTGCTGCAGAGCTTCACTTGGCACAGGGCCACAGGCCGTCGGTCGTCCTGCGGGGTTGGGCAACCGTGGCTCCAGCAAGGCTCTGCCTGCTCAAAGGGAAACCAAAAGGAAAAAGGAGGCTGTTTGAACAGTAGTTGCGGTAGGTTGACAGGGCGAACGACTACTTTCAGGATGTACGGTGTTGGGGGGTAGGGATCAACCCCCAGCAACACCTGAAGCAACGTGTTGCCCAGGTGTTCCCATGAACAAAACATGTTGCCAGTCCTGACATGAGAGATCTTTCCCAGATCCAGGCTGGCCTTGCTCCAAGCTCCAACTCGAATAACTAGTCACAAGAGGCCGACTCTAAAACCGGAAGTGGCCATCCTAACGAGTCTTTAGCCGCCCTGTCCCTCAACCAGAGAGAGGTCGGGCCCAATATTCTTCAACTGTTGGCTTCGACTTTCTCAGCAGAGTCTTGCTGCGCCGCCTCAAGAAGGACCCAGTGCAAGGCCTCCACAGCTCGGATCGCACAAATTTGGCGGTTTCGGTTTGCAGGGATAGGGGGGGGTGAGACCCACTGCCAGGGGTACCGTATCCCCGAAGGGAGCAGGTACCTTGTGGTAGTAGAGAATGTATTGGTAGGTCCCCGGATCTATTCTGCAAGAGAGTCCAATATGCCAATAGTGGAGGAACTGAGAATGGAAGTCCCTGGTTGTGGAAATGTGCAATGTATACCTGCAAGGCGCTCTGCTAGGTCCTTTTGTAATGGCTGCAGATGGCTGCAGGATGAATGCAACTGTACTACAAGATAGGGCCTTGAGCCAAAAATGGCATGTGTGTGGTGCAGGGTCAATTGCGAAGCAAAAGCAAGACAAAAACAGACACAATTTCTTGTGACCCTGAACACCAAGATTGTATTCTTGGCTTCATGGCCTTTCGCCGTAGCCATACTTATGGTATGCTTGCCGTAGCCATATCGAAAGTTAAATCATCC